TGTTTTGATTGGCTGTCGTTTTACCGTTGCTGCAGGTTCCGCTATAGTCTCGTCTTGGGTGTTTGTGCATGGTTACATAAAGACTGCTTGTGTTTGTAGACTATTTTTGCTCTTAAATCTGGCAGGGCCAGGTGTCATAGATCAGGGCTTCTGCGTCTGGAGCACCGTCTAATGGATGTGAGACATGGAACAGGCCTCTCACAGACACACACACATACACACACAGGGAGGCGTGTAGATTAAGTGTGCATTAGTTAGCTGTCTGTTTATCCTCAGGAGGCCCACGGGACGACTGAGGCAGGGGTGAAGGAATGTATATCTACTCGGTGCACTGCGGCGATAAGGACGCTCAATCCGAGACGCGATTGCATGTTTGTAATCCAGGAAAAAAGGCGTGGAAAGTGCGGGCCTGTTACAAATCAAGGAACGGAGAGGTGGAAAAGTAGGTATTTGTGAGCGAGAGGAAAGAGGCAGTTGCATGCTGCGATGTAGAAAGAGCCATGTGGGATTTCTCTGGTCAAGAAGATCTTGGAAGCTGGTATTTGGACAAAGCTTCAAATTTTCCAGCCAGGAATGCACGTAGTCCCAGGGAGACTGCCAACCGCAGAGAGAGAGAGAGAGAGAGAGAGAGAGAGAAGAAGGGGGAGACAGAAAATAAGAGAGAAGAAAGAAAGGGAGGTAAAGAAAGAAAAAAGGCGGAGAGAGTCGAGGAAAAATGTCTGTGGACGAAGTGTGGGCGGGAATGTGAGAGTCGAAATCGCAAGAGAGGAAGCAGACGCTCGGCTTGAATATGCGCGCACGCGCACATTTTGGAATGAGAGAGAGAGAGAGAGAGAGAGAAGAAGGGGGAGACAGAAAATAAGAGAGAAGAAAGAAAGGGAGGTAAAGAAAGAAAAAAGGCGGAGAGAGTCGAGGAAAAATGTCTGTGGACGAAGTGTGGGCGGGAATGTGAGAGTCGAAATCGCAAGAGAGGAAGCAGACGCTCGGCTTGAATATGCGCGCACGCGCACATTTTGGAATGACAGAGCTGATTTGTGCAAATAACGTGGATGACTGAAAAAAAAAAAAACATTCAAGCGTCACACACACTTAAAGCAGTTTAGGTAAAGCCTTCCGAGGAATGCCACAGTGATGTCATCACGGCTGGTGTGAAAGTTAGAAAGTAAAGAAAACACTGTGGTTGGCTGCATGTGTGTGCGTGCGCGTCAAGTAAGTGCGCCTGGGGCTGCTGCATCTGGGAACGCACTGTACCGTGTTTATCTCAAAAGTGACCATGTGTGTGTCGAAATGAGTGTATATTTTTCTCCGCCATTTGGATGCCAGTGTGTTTATATCAGGCTCTGCGTGTGTACCGTATACTGTATATACAAGTCGGTCCTCTGTGTGTGTGCGTGAGTGTGTCCATGTGTGTGTTTGCTCGTCTTTGTTTGGATTGGGGCAACTCCAGCTGTGTCAAAGTGAGCCGCTCCAAATGCCTGAAATCCCAGAGGAGGAAGAAGAGGGGGGGAGCGAGGGGAAGAGTGAATGGAGGGTGAGACCAATTGGGGAGCAAGAGATTTTTTTTGGGGGGTGGGCTGGTTAACGTGTTCACTTAACTTCCGGGTCAAGGATGCTATTTTTGCTACACGTGCTTTCTGAATCGTTTGTGAATGGCATATTTTGTCTTGAAGTATTTCTACTGTCTAACTTCAACTGTCATTTTTGGTTTTGATGCTCCCTCTGCCCCCCCCCCCCCCCCCACAAAAGCATTCACTTCCTGCCCATCTCCCCCATGATGTCAGCCGCTGACCAGACTGTTGTGGTGTGTCTGCCTGTCTACACTTGCTGTGCAGACCTTCTGCTCCTGTACAGCAGGCACAGACAGGCAGACAGATGGCAGCCCCACTGACACCAGGAGCGCCCGCTTTGGTACAAATACCGTTTCCGACAACCGCGCTCCCCTCTCTGCCCGTTTGGTTATTTCTCGTCATCCCGTTGCACGCATGTTTCAAATTGAATTCTTCGAATAAAGCCATGGCGCCTCTCAAAATGTTCTGCAGTATTTTCTTTTGAACATCGAAAAACCTGAAGGGCTCACCTCGTTGTCCTTGAACCAGGACAAGCTCTCGGCGGTGAGAATGAACCAGTACTCCTTGGCGATGATGCTGACATTGTTGATGGTGAGCCATCCTTTTCGTATGACCTGCAGAGGGACCAAAAGTAAAACATTTAGACCGCGAAAGCTTGAATGAGGCACTGCTAATTCGAGAACAGGTTGACAGACTGAAACAGGGGCCCTCAATTACAAGTGAAAGGCGACAAAGAATGCATTTTTCCCCTCAATTTAAAGCGGTTCCCAAGAGTTTTAACAGTGACATGCTTTTGTAAAAAGACTCCACGGATCAAAAACATTTTAGCACACTTTTTACACTGTGTTTCGAGCCTCACTGAAATTAGCCTGCTTTGCGTTCTTACTGCTGAGACTCTACTACTGGGCCAAAGTACAGTAAGGCTTTCGTAAGCAGCACAATTAGGGGCAGAGCTACTTATTGCAAACTGACAGCATAAAAAGCATTTTCACACATGGAGGCAGCACTTCATCAAGCAACTGTGGAGTCATTTTCAGTCGACAGCAAGTGGGAAAAATGGCTGCCCCCTGAGATGGAGAAAAAAACAACAAAAAAAAAATGTGGATTTTGCTATTTATATTCCAAAAACGCAATGTTTAGCAGAAACCCGCAGAGGCCACAGCAGTATTGTAAATTGAGGACCCCTGCCTTGTGAGGCGGTAACGAATGACCCCAACTGATAAACATAGAGCAAAAGTTGTGAACATTTATGGAAAATCAAGTTATAGAGGAAGGTCACCGAGCAGGTAAAACACACCCCAGGAGATTGCCGCACGAAACAGAAAAGCAGTATCCATCAGGAGGTCAGAACAGGCAGAAAGAGACGGAAAGAAACACTGCACTGGTGATAAATAAAAGCAATATCGGGAAATGGGGAACTAAAGTGGGGAAAAAAGGTTGACATTAGTAATGCACGTACGCTAGACGACAAAAAAGAAAAATAAATAATGAAGCGGAACAAGGCCTTTTTTTGTCACTGTGCACAATTGCAACAGTCATGCCGACCCAGAATCCTGTGCACACATATGTCCAGCAGAGGCTTAAAGAGATTGGTATCCTACTATTAGACTTGAAGGAGGCGCCACACCCTGGAGATTGGGAGGGAGGGGGAAACACAAGGTATGAAAATTGGAATCAACTGTCGCTGGTCCTGATGAACATTTTGCTGATTATGAAACATTTAACGAAGGTGACAACATCATGAAAGAAGCCCGTAACAATTTAAATCCGCCAATCCAGTCCCTTGGTTTGAACGCAGCGGATGGACTGTGAGGAGCCAAGAACAAATCATCATCATTGGAAACACTTCCTGTAAAATGCTCGGTCACATATTCATTGGCGGCTTTGGAGGCACATGAACAATGATGCATGATGTGTACCATCAACGCTAGAAAAACAAGAATGATAGTGGAAAACCTTGTTAACATATTTACAAACAAATCTAAATTCATCTAAAACCAATGTTTTAGATGGTCCCTCTCCGCACTGCAGATTTTCACCCATCGAGGGTGCAGTGGAATAAGAGTTTGTTGGATTTACATAAAAACAGTGCGGAGATTGGTTGCACACATTGAAATCATGTTTCATCAACATAAATGTCTTTATTTTGCGCAATATTAATGCATGCAGCCACGCTGACGAAACATGATTGAGTGCCACCCAATGTGCATACTTTTTAAAATGCTCATCCAAAAATTTTTTTCCTATGCAGGTCGAGTACGTAACTTCTGGAATGAACGGGGGATGATCAATGAAATTCTAGCAGGCAGTCAGCGCTAAAGTCTCACCTGTTGTACTCCACCGCCAGCAACGATCTTGTTATCGCTACGGTGGCACAGAGGTTGAGCACTGATGGAGACAAAAGCTTGGATTTAAAATTTTTAAAACTCCTCGTTTGAGAGAAAATACTTCTATGATGTTTACTCACTGAGCAAAGCCAATAAAGTCTTCGTGTTTGGTATTAATATATGCGAGCTGCATGTCGATGAGCAGAGAGATCTGAAGAGAGGAAAACGTAGGTGAAGCGGAAGAAAAACAGAACCCGTGAAAGTCGAGCAATCGGGAAATGAAAACCAAATGTGACGGTCCGAACGCGCGTGACCGACCTGATCTCGGCATGTGCTCTCTTGTTCTCTGATTTCGGCAGTGACGAGACGCTCCGTTTCTTCCCGCAGCTTGGGAAAAGAACTGATCTTTAGGGAGAAGAGGTCACTTTAGTTAAGAGGCACAATGGCATTCATGTATGAGTCACCTACGGATACAGACCTTATTAAAGCACTCGTAAATGGTGGAGATCAGTTCCTTGCAGACCATGTCGACAAAGCCGAAACACGGAATTTTTAGTTTGGAGATCTGCTTCTTTACAATGGCCTGAAAAGCCATGTCGGGGGTGAATAGGCCCGTCCTGCGGGTGAACGAGGGAGGAAGTTACAACAAGCAAACTCTGTCAACATCAAAAGTAAAAGGATGACATCACCTGACGCCGTGGATGTTCCTGATGGCATAGGCGATCTCCATCCGCAGCTTTCTTTCGTCGCACTTCATCTGCGGCACAACGGAAGCAACATACATGAAAGTTGCAACTTGCAAGCGACGACAAAGTGCCCGTTGGCATTTTTCTGACCCATTAATCAATTTTGTGTCGATCAGTGAAACACGTGTTGGGGTTAAAAAAAAAAAAAAAAAAACGAAAAAGCCTGACAATTTAGCGTTGCCGCTCTTTCTAAGACCTCTGCATCTAGTTGGTGCTCAAGTCCTTAGTCGTAGCTCATCACAGGACGTGCCTCGAAATGGTCCAAAATGGCCAATGTTCAATTTTGTTCAATTTCAGACATGGTTCCTTGAGACTTTTTTCATGTGACCCGTTATAATAAACATGACCACTAAATTTCTGGTGGATTGATTAAAATGTTAAAATGGCAATTTTGTGTCGTCGGTGACACTGGTGTCGAGGGTGATTTTTTTTTTTTCTTCTCATCCATCTTTGATGATCGCCATGTGACACCATGTTCCACAGACATGAAATGGCGACAATAACGCTTTGCCATTTAGTGCCTATCTGTAAATTGGGGCTTTTTTTGGGGCAAATTCCCTAGTCAGAGTTCATCAAAGTATGAGCCCTGGAATTTGCCCTAAAGTGAGTGATACAGTCGGTGCAATTCTCCAGGCTCGTCTTGAAAATGTTCAAAGGCTATCATGCTATGTCTCATCAAGAACCTTGTTGAGTGTCACAAAACATCGAATAAGGTAAACGCACTTTGTGCAGCTGATAGGGGAAGCGCTCATGGAAGATCTGGTTGATCCTTGCTCCTCCCGACAGGTGGACGGTGTTCACTTCGTCGGCTGAGCCCTCAATTAACTTCTCAAAGTCGCCGGCCAGTTGCTGTACGACTCTAGGAATAGAAGACATGACGGGAGATGAGAAACTACCCCCCCACCTCCCAAAAAAATAAAAATACAGCAAGGCCCTGCCTATTTGCCGCTTGCTATTCATGAATGAACCTAATTGCAGTTTTTGTGCACAAGATGGTGCCAAATTTATTTTTATGGCTAATGTTGTAAGATGAGTTTTTCAATATTCACAGTTTAAAATATTTCTAAAGGCAATCGTAAACTTTTTAAGGACTCGCGGGTGTTTACTGTACACCCTCATGTGACTGACTTGATGAGGGTCTTGGTCTTGCACATGGGGTCATCTGGATTATACAGTTTGTACGCGTCGACTTCTTTACTGATGGACACAAGTAGGCCCCGCATGTGACTGTGGAGCGCAGGCAGACTGTCACAGATGTGGTTCGTCAATTGCTGCAAACAAACAAACTGTAAGTAACACGTGTGGCACAGCATGACGTTGGTCCACTTCTGTGCTGTCTGACCTGGTTGAGGTACTTCTGTAAGTGCGGCGTGCCCATTCTGTCAGACATGTGCCTGTAAGCTGGGTGGGACAGGAAAAACTTTTTCTCCGCTTGCAAGGCTGCCTTAATATCCTTTTTCCCTTCGATGTCCTTTTGACTGCGGTTCACTAGCCCAATATAACCTGGTGAGGAAAACAAAACAAAACAATGTACCACCTTTATTCAATGTAATGGTTTGAACTCAAGTTCTATTTGACTTCTGAAGATTTTTTTTTTCAGTACAAATGTTCCACTTGGCGTGCATCCCACTGTAGATGTTACAATATGGTTTGCGCGTTGGTCAACTGGTTAGCACGTTGGCCTCAAAGTGCAGAGGTGCAGGGCTCGATTCCGACTCCGGCCTTCCTGTGTGGATATTGCTTGTTCTCTCCATGCCTGCGTGGGTTTTCTCCGGGTACTCCAGTTTTCCAAAAAATAAAAATACTCCTACATTCCAAAAAAACTGCATGGCAGGCTAATGGACCACTTTAAACTGTCCCTACATGTGATTGTGAGCATGGATGGTTGTTCGTCTATGTGTGCCCTGCGATTGGCTGGCAACCAGTTCAGGGTGTCCCCTGCCTATTGCCCGAAGATAGCTCGGCTTAGGCTGCAGCACGCCCGCTACCCTTGTGAGGATTAGCGGATTAGGAAATGGATGGATGGATGTTACAACATGAGGCTCCGTGACTAAAGCTACGGCTCTGCGTTGCTGACTTGAGGGGCTTTTCTGTGAATAATGCATTAAAGCGTTTTTGGAAGAGGTATGAACTAGCCAAACACCTGGTATTGCTTCACTGTAAATCCTTATCTCATCTCTCACACACACACACACACACACACACACACACACACACACACACACACACACACACACACACGCCTGCGCACACGGTGACTCACCTCGTCTCAGTGGAAGCAATCTATTCTCGAGTATTTCCCGAGCATCTGTTCCTTTATCCATTAGGTCCAGCATGGTGATCACACCTATCGTGCGCTGGCCTACCATAGAGTTGGGGGAGGGGGCGGGGGGTAGACAAAGTAAAATATATAGATTTAAAGATTACATTTTAAAGGGAACATATGAAAAATTCACTTTTTAATGGCTTGGATAAAAATAGTTGGGTCCTTGGAGTATCTGATCACCCATCAAGTCATTTAAACAACCAAATTACAAAGTGTGGCAGGCTCAGCAGCTCACCCTGTGGGTCAACATCTTTGGCCAGTTTGAGTGCATCGGAGTTGGCCAGGTCCATGTTGGCAGGCGTCACAGCCAGGATGAGGCAGTTCTCCTTGCAGATGTACTGCATGATCATGTCTCGCACCTGGTACTCGATGTCTGGCGGCTGGTCACCCACAGGAACCTTGGTGATGCCGGGCAGGTCCACGAGGGTCAGGTTGAGCACTGCACAAGACAGATGTTAACGCGCTTGGAGTGGAATGCGTGACGACGATGCGAGCGTGAGGCGGGATTACCATTGGGGGAGAAAATGCGGAGGTTGATGGGTATGGGAGAGATGCCTTTGTTGTTTCCTGTCAGCCTACGGGTTTCTGCCTCGATTTCTTGGCGGATTTCATCAAAGTCCGAGAACCTCTTCCCCCTGCAGTGCAAAAATTCCCCATACTCTAGAGAGACAAGAAAGACGTGTGGCATTGTGGAATCCCCTTTCAGATCAATGCTGCCCAAATAATGGTCAGTATCAGTATTACGAGGGGTCGTTCCCATGCTGGCAACAAAAGAGAGAACACCCTTTATTAAAATTGTACAAATTCAACCCAAGGTGTCAATAATTCGTGTGGCCACCATTATTTTCCAGCACTGCCTTAAGCCTCTCGGACATGGGAGTTAAACCATTGTTTGGTCTTGGCCACCGTGCTGCGTCATCAACTTTCAGCCTAGCCATAGCGTATCTGTACGTAGGGCAACAATTATAGTATTATTTTTCCTCTGAGTTCTTTGCACTTTGGCTCCATATTGAACCAGAGACCAGCCTAAGAGAGTGTGGGATCAATTAATACCAAACCTGCACTCCGTTCAGACGTGAGACCAAATGAGTCACATGACGTCACGTGAGAAAACTGCTATTAGACCAAATTTTGACATTTTCACTTCGGGGTATACTCACTTTTATTGCCAGTTATTTAGATATCGATAGCTGTGAGTTATTTTGAAGGGACAGTAAATTTACGGTTACACAAGCAGTGAGCACTTCCCATCATGAAAGGGTTATTTCGTTTGTGTTGTCCAATGAAAAGATACAATAAAATATTCACACAAATGTAAGACGTGTACTCACTTTCGTTAGATACTGTACTTCATTGTTTGGTGAAGTTGGTTGATGTCGTAGTGGTGGGCATTATGTTGTGTGGCAATTAGTCTGCTGCATGCACCACATGCACAAATCCACAGTAATTAAAAAAAAAGTGCAATTCCAACTTTGTGATGATTAGCTGTCTCCACGATTGACAGTATGTGTCATCGCCCAAGGAAGGCAACTCTTTGTACTGTCCAATTAATCCTGCACGGAGGCCCTAAAAATTACCTGAGTTTTCTCTCTTCCGCCATCTAGTGGCAGCGCCAAGCGCACGCGGATAGATACAACTGCCAACATGCACACATTGAGTCAACAGAAGCCTCACTCACCGGTGTCGGCGTGATGTAGCTGTAGGACCAAAGGTCTGCGAGTGACAATCCCAGTGCCGCGGGGAAGGAAGTCTCTGTCAGAGAAAATAAAACATACGAACACTGAAAAGGAGAAGGAAATTCGAACTGACGCCAAAGCACTGATGCTTTAAAAAAAAAAAATCCTCTTTCCCATATAAATCTTGATTGGGATGTTTGTTTTCCTGCATCCTGCTCCCGATCACACTACTGGCAGAGAGCCCGAATTGGATATGTCATAACATGCAGTCAAACAAAGGAACTGAAACATATCAATGCACAGTCAGGAAGGTGAGTACAACAAGGCCTTCAGGCGTCACTTTGAAACAAATCCTAATCCGGACTTCAGGGATTTCAACTGGTCTCCTCCGCATCACGGAGCTGCATTGTCTGGGAAAAAAAAAATCTTGAAGGAAACTGACAAATGAGTCACAAGGCAGCGTGCTTTTTTTTTGGGACAGAATTAAATTAACCCTCTTGTCACATTGCACATCACTATCAGACTTGGACTTTACTTTGGATCTTATCACGCTGAAACACAAAAATCTGTGCTCATTTTGTCACACTGTAGACCACAATCCATTCCGTGCTGACTTGAAAAACAATCTTTCCCATAGGAAATAATGCCAAATTTGTTCCAGGCTCAAACGGTCGCAGTCATGAACTTTTTATCGACAGTACAGGCAATGTTTGGAGTCAAATTTCAATACGGTATTCCCAAATGTCGTGTAAAACCCAAGTTAAGCAGTGTATAATAAAACAAAAATAAAGTCATACTTTTTGAAGATGACCAACAGACAGGTAATGGACGTTGTTTTTCAGCACATTGCATGCTATTTACTGCTTTGTAAAGTTATCCATCATAGTCGACAGAATTTGTCTTCATAGGGTCACCGGTGAGCTAGGGCCTATCCCAGATGACTCTGTGAGAGGCAGGGTATGTATGCCCTGGACGAGTGACTGCACACATATAAACAACAAGGATTTGCAATCAATTATACGCTTAATAGTGTCAGAAACGCATAAAGTGACTTGGACAAGCAGCTGTATGGGTGGTGCACCCACGACACAGAGGTGATGCATCGCCTTTGCGGGACTCCGTCAACAAAGCAGAGTGAACGTTACTTATTGCCCTTTACTGCACTGTGTTGCACAGGTGAGCAAGTCTGTCTATGAAAAATTTGGGGACTTTGAAATACGGGTATTTGTGGGACAGAAAAACATTATATAAAAAACCGAGTGAGTTTACTAGTGAACTGTGCACAAATTGGGTTCTTCTACTTGACGTTGTCTTGCTGTTCAGCAGTTTTGACCATTATTTAACCTTGGCCATTCCTGATATAGTTTTATTATATTTTGGGTGATTTTTGAGGAGATATGGGAAAAAAAAAAAAAAAACATGGGCACATGGCAGGACCATCCAACCACGAAACTCATAACTGTGAAGCAAATGTGCCAAACCTGAGTCATCCACACCATCCTGCCTCTCAAAATTCATTCACTGCCATTGACGACGCTTGATGCCAGATGCACTTAATCTGCATTATATTGTTCATATTGTACAGCAGAACGAGTAACAATCACATCACTCAATACGTCAAAACTTCCCAAGCAGCACTCGATCCACCCGGTTAACATTCACTGGAACTTACCTGCCCACAAAGTTCTCCAGCACCGAGCTCTTCCCGGAACTCTGGCCCCCCACCACGGCAATCTGCGGCAGAAGGAGGCTGTAGCTCAGACCCGCGCTGCCCAAGGCGTCCTGGAGCCGATTGATCATCGAGATCATGCTGCACGGCGACGATGGTGGTGGTGAAGGAAGAGGAGGTGGCGGTGTTGCTGTAAAGTCGGAATTTCCGAGCCCCGGAACGCCCCCCTGAACTCCCCCTCAACTTTTAAGAGGGCTGCCCCGCCGCGTATCAACAGCAAGTTGGAGCTAAAGGTGATAAAGTGACACTCAAAAATCACACTTGACACACCGTAAAGAAACAAAGGCGGCAGAAATGGACACGTTGTGGCAACATGAAGAATACACAATGCTATTATCGTCACATGATGCGTTCAAGAGCCTCCCAGTGTTACGTCCAATGACATTCACGGCGACGACCCATCCCGCAGTTGCCCCTAGCAACGGTGCGACCAAATTCTTAGTTTTCTTGAATAATTTACGACACCGGTACTCTTACATTTATATGACTAATAAGACAAACAAAGTTATTCTTAAAGGGACTTAAGTTAGGGGCGTGTTTGCTAACTTGTTAGTTCACAAGAGCTAGCGTCCAGATTTCGGGCGACCCAACCGCTAATGCACTCTTAAACTTATTTTGTTGACGCAGGCTCACTTTTCACACGGTTTCGCTTCTCCTTACCTCCGCGTCGACATTTAGGAAGTTAGCCGCGATGCTGAGTGGGCTCCAGGGTTAGCTTGAAAGAGGAGAACGTGGAGGAGCAGGCAGAGAGCGAGAGAAAAAAAAAAAAAAACTAAAACCACCCAACTTTTGACAGCTAACGGGCGCGAAAGGTCTGCGCATGCGCCTAAGACAACAACTTGTAAAACATCCTCTCATGTAAACGTATATTTATATTTGGGGATATGATGCCATTATAATTCCTGTTCCTTCTTTAATGTAGGCAACTTAAATGATCGAATTAAAAACGCGTGGGTGGGGGTCAATTCCACTTCTACTGTAAATAACTCTTCCTCATTCCGAGGTAGTGAGGCGTGTGCGGGGCAAAGGAGTGCAGCCTGAGGGGAGTGAAATGGAATCCTGGCGCTAAAAATATGGGTGAAATAATGCAGAGTGTAAATGAGATAAGACCCATTTAGATGAGATAAAATACACTGCTGCTTTACTTTGCAATAACACGCGCAACATTAAATCGAGAAAAGAACAAAAAAACAAAAGTATTCAACGACACTTCCCTTTTCCCACAACGTCGTGACAGCCTTATTCCAAAATGGATTAAATTCATTTTTTCTTGAAATTCTACTCTTACCACCCAATGGGGATTTTTTTAAAACAAATTTATTAACAATGGAAAAAAATAGAAAGCGTCTTTGTTATGAAGCACAAACCTAAGCTCAGGTGCGTCCCGTTCCCATTGATCATCCTTGAGCTTGTTCGACATATTAAATGGAGTCCACCTGTGGTAAACCCTGATTGGAACGATTTAGAAACACACACCTGTTTATGTCTGGTCTCAGGGCATGTCTGAGCACAACCCAAGTATGAAGTCGAAAGAATTGTCAGTAGGCTTCAGTGATAGGATTGTTTCGAGGCACCGACAATATTCTGCTTTGGAGGTCCCAGTGGCCTTACTGTGGTGACTTAAACTAAGCTGTTGTATCACCATGACCTCACTTATAATAGCCTTGCCTATCTTATGGCACGGTTGGGCACAGTTACAAGTTGAATCCTGTTTAGAACATGGTGGACTGATGCTCCCCATTCAAACTAACAGAGTAAAGGGGCAAAACTGACCAAAGATACAGTCAGCGTGTCGAGCCTGATGGATAATGAGGACTTGAGGCTGCAGTTGCTGCCAAATATGCGCCTACAATGTATTAAGCATAGGCTATGAACATTTAGATGTATATAAATGAGCTTTGTTTTTAAATAGTTATAATTTGCATAATTTTTTTCCCCATGTTGTCATGATCAGGTGTTGTGTAAAATTGTGGGGGATACCGGTAATTCATTGCATTTTGTAATAGTGCTGTAACAAAATGTCAAAATGTTGAAGGACTGACTACTCTCATGAAGCACTCGACACTTTTTTTTGTCACAAATATATTTTTAAATATACAAAAAAATTTAATATGAGTCTTGCCTTTACAATGTATAATTTATTCCGTTTGGAATAAAAACTACAAAACTAAAATTGCTGCAAATACTTTCCAGATTCATTAAATGTGGTTTCTTCTTTTTGTCTTTATTTTTAACAACTTTGAAAACTTGTCAGGAGGCAGCTATTGCTGCCAAATATAGGACTGAGCATTGGCAGTGAATAGTTATGGGCGTGAATTATTAGCTTTTTTTTTTTTTATCTATACATCTAAATAAATTTGTAAGTGTTAAACTTCGTCATGTTCTCCTTATGCGGTATTGCATCTAGAATTTTAAGAAGAAAAAAAATGAAAGTATTCCTTTTTGGAAAAAGGCACTAGCATAATGAAATGTGAAAAAAGTGACATCCGAGGCCATTTTAGTCCTCACCGCACAATATTTATGAAAACTAAATGTTTCTTATTATTTGGCATTAGCGTTTTGTCACTGTGGATTCACCGACTCTGCTTTGAGTCCCAGTCACCCTCACACCACTTTCATGTCTTTCAACAACTCAGCAATGTCTATTTTCGGGCTGCGGGTCACGCCAGAGTGCAGGGCTCTCTGCAGATCGTGACCCGCTTGCTTCAGCGACGGTAGGACGCCGATGCCTTCGCCTTGGCGGCGACAGAGGAGCACCTCATTCACTTCCCCGTCGATCTTTCGCGAGAGGATGGCAGGGAACACGCCACTCACACGCTCCAGCACGTCTTTCCTCAAGGCGGAGTCGCGGCACACCAGGTTGAGTATAAAAATGCCTAGGCAGCCCAAAGAAGAACGGATTAAAGGGGACATACAATATTATGGACAATTGCCTTTTTAATGGCTTGTATATAAATGATTGGATGTATCCTATTATATCATGAAGTTAATTGTAAACAAATAAAAGGTTATTTTTTACAAAATACAAGGTGTACAGTACCTCTAGGGGTGAGGAGGCTGCTGACTTTGTGCAGGATGGAGCTTTCGACAAATGCGGCAGGTGGACAGCTCATACCCAATGTGCTGTCCTTATTGTCCACATCGAACATGATGGCGTCAAATAAACGACCACCTGGAGACAAAACGCACACGGTCACTTGGACTGGTATTGATAACAGTCATGAACAACATTTTTTGATGACTGATTTGGATTTTTTTTGTGACTGGTGTGACAGTATGGAGTAAAATCATAAACTGCTGTTATGTTAGCTTCTCTAGCTAGCCTCTGCATACGGTTGTGCTGTGTAAAAGAGAGGCACCGAGTGAACGTGTAGACTGCTAGGTTAGCTTCCCCTGCTAGCCAAAGCAATTTGTGCGGTTTGACAAGCAGAAGCACTGATTAAAGATGTAGACAACTCCATTAACTTCTCGCTCACGACTTTGCTACTGCGTTAGCGGGAGCAGCATCCCCCCCACCGTCTTTCTCCAGGGTGCAGATACGTTCAAGGCCATCCCCAAGCGTAACGGTCAGGTGATCGTCGGGTCGAAAGTGGAACCACTCTTTGGCCACCTCCAGCACCACGGGATCCAGCTCCACCACCTCCACAGACACACCGGGTACAAAGTCTCGCAGAAACTGGGGCAGGCCTCCTCCACCGAGTCCAATCACCAGCACTGACACCATGGCATCTTAAGGAGGGGAGAGAAAGGGTTAAGGGGTGCCCATAAGACAAGTCAAGCTGGGAAAATATATCGAGCAGGCTACACACATTCACACCAATGCACAATTTAAGGTCATGGATGAGCTGGAGCCTATCCCAAGCCCAGCTAAGGTGGTGGGGGAAGGGTGCCTACAACATGGACTGGTTGCCAGACAATCACAGAGCACAAACAGACAAATTTTTTGCGGGGTGGGCACAGCAGAGGAAGCCGCTGTGCACCGACAGGGAGGACGATGGCGGCTGTTTGATTTTCTTTTTATTCTTCTTCTTATGACTTGATGCTGCAGGAAGAGATACGCATACGTTCATTTTCAGCAAATAGGCCATCCTGTGTTGCAACTGCCATTTTGGCAAATTCTAGAGCTCCAAAGTTATAAAAAAATGAGTAACTGTAGTTTACAGATCAACACGAATTTTTGGTGGACATATTATAACAAGGTGCATGGAAAAGTCACAAGGATCCAAAGCCAAAATTGACCCCCAAAAAATGTGTACATTGTGGTTTGATGTGACCATTTTGGGGCGAATTCCAGTGCTTGAAAGTTTAAAAATAGTAGCACCTGACACCGGTTTTACCAATCGCCGCAAAAGCGAGTAGACCTGTCTATCATAACAACACACATGAAAAAGTCTAAGATGGCTATTGTGGTGCAAGCCAATTTTGGGGCTTAAATAATATTTAAAAATTAGAAGATGTAAGTTGTTGACACCAGTTTGACCGATCAACATGAAATTTGGGTATTGAAAGTCTGAAGGACCAATATCGGTGATCAAACAGGAAGCTGGTTAGAGGTAGCCATTTTGGGGCAAATTCCAGTGCTTGAATTTAGCAAAAATTATCCCCGGACACCAGTTTTACCAATAGACACGAAACTGGGGAGACATGTCTATTTCAACAGGCTGCATGAAAGTCTCAAGTTGAATTTCTGAGCTAATACGAACAAACTCCAACTAAGACTTGATCCAAAATTCTCGCACTTTCCATTCTCACAACTCTCGAGAACTCTTGAAATACAAAGTTACAGCGCAAAATGAATCAATGAGAAAAAAAACAAAAAAAACACGTGAACTGACTGCTATTGGCGGAGACGAGACGACTCTCGGACTGCACCAGAGCCGCGTTGGACAGGAACACCAATCTGCGGTACAGCTCGCCGTCCTCCCCTCTGACGTTCTCCACACAGAATTCACCGCTGTGCTCGCTCACACCCCTGCTGACCTCCTCTCGCCAACCCAGGTCGCCACCCACTGACAGAAACGGAACCTGAACGACAAGTTCCAAAAAACGTCCAGTCAACGCCCACGTGACAGAAACGGAACCTGAACGACAAGTTCCAAAAATGTCCGGTCAACGTCCACACGAGCTGGATGTCAGTCAAATTCTCGGCATCCACCTGCTGATTGTCTGGCATTCCCGGTGGGGCCAGGTCCATCACCATGGGCGAGAGTTCCGACTGGACGGCCTGCATGTCGGCATACTCTTGATTCCTGTGCATGGCCACGATAACCAGGCGGCGGAAGTTGGCGCTGGCTGCCAGTTGCCGCCGGCCCTCGCTGGAGCTGTAGAGCCATGCTGTCTCACTGCCTTGGGGCACTGCAAGGGAGAGGCGGGTTCAACAAAGATGGCGTACATTACAGACACCTGCCAAGATGTATTCTTCTGTAACAACCTTCAATACTGCTTATAAACATTCACAATTGTGTGTTGAAGTAGCAGTTGTCTGAAGGTTTATCATGACTATAACATCTATACTCATTTCCATTCTATGGCGTTTCATATGTTAGCATTAAGCTAGCAGATTCTCGTTAGACAAGTGTTTTTTTTATTTTTTTGTTTTGTTTTGTTTTTTTTAACGTGACAGTTTTACAGTAAACTTAAACTGGGACTACTAATTTGGAGAACTGTGCCACCAAGTGAATGAGAGTAGACTCTCAGAATTCTTTTAGAAAATGTGCTTGAAGAAGTTAAAGTGTCCTGAAAACAGATCAAGAGTGTTTAAAGCCTGTGGGAGGGGTATTGAAACTTTTTTTTTTTTTTTATATGGGCTCTCTATAACACAGGTGGGGCTGGAGCATATCCCCCATGATAAAGTGAATAAATAAGTGAATAAATCATCATTTTCAGGCCAATTAAGTGAAATTGGCATGTGCAATAATCATGCAGCATGCTAATGAGCACCACAGTGTTTGGGAAACACTGCATGGGATTGTGCTGGTGTACCTAATGTCGTGTCCGGTGACTTATAACAGACAACAAGAAAAATAAATAAAGCTCACCAATGAATATGGCAAACCGGTTGAACCTTGGCACCTTGGCGGTTGGCGGTGAATCCTGTACCGTGAGAGTGTATCTGGGCAGGCCGGTCTTTGCGTGGCAAAGTGTCAGCGACGAGTCGGCGTCGGCATCCGTGCGGGTTCGCAACCTCTTCCTTAGGACAGAATAGGCCTGCCGTTCTCGCACGGCCGCCAGCAAGTCGGCCGCCAGCGCCAGACGGTTCAGGGCGCCATCTTCACCAAGGCAAAACTCCAGAATGGGCGTTGGCATGGGCTGGCGGAATTTTGTGCAGACCAGGACGAAAACGGGGAGAGCAAATGAGTCTTCGTCCTCCTCGGCGCTGGTTTCTTCCTGCAGGCAGTGAAGCCTTACAGCCCAGCCCAGCTGAACAAAGTGCTCCACGGCCAGGCGGATCACACTCTCCTGAGCCAGTGTGATACACACGTACCTTCCGCCTACGCTGAGTACACGGCCCACCTGCAAATACATACGTAAATGTACACTAACTGAATGTCCACAGGTATTTGGATTTATAATGACACCTGAAAGTCTGCACGTGCTGTGATTAACTTTTTTTTGTACCTCAGTGAGCATATTCCTCGCCAGATCTCCTCCTTCCTCTGACGCCATTGCATCCAGGGTGCCTTTGTCCAGAGCGGCCTGGTAGCAAGCATCCTGGTACGGCATCTGGGTTGCGTCCACTTGCTGGAACTTGAGGTCAGGCCGCCGCTCGGCATTGCGCTGGTTCATGTGCGACACCACAGTCTCACTGATGTCAATGTTGGTCAGGTGCTTGTAGCCCACGTCGTGAAGCTGCTCGCTCAACTCAGAGTTTCCGCAGCCCACCACCAGCACCTCAAATGCATAAATAGGACAGCTTTGGTTAAAACGGTGCCTTTTAGGTACAGATTGTTAAAACTGTCATCCTTCAAAATTATTTTTCAACTAAGGTCCCTATTATCACATTATGAACTAGAAATGATGATTTGTTTGTTTGCCTCCTCATCTCTTGACTACTGCGATTTAAGAAAATTACCTCAAGGCTTTTGTCTAGATCCCATAGGTTCAGCCAGATCACTCCCGTTCTGCTTTTCTTGCTCTCGCTTCATGTGCATTTTAGCATTTAGTTAAATAAAAAAAAAAAAAAAAACTTACAGGTCAATGGTCAGATTGGTGAATCTGGTATCATATTATTGTCTTGTTAGGTAACTTTGAAAAGCACTTTCTCTTCCTCTGTGTGAAAAGTGCAATACAAATAAAAATGACTTCCATTTTCCTTTCACAGTAGAGGGGAATACACAGTGAATTAGGTCCATCATCTTGAATTGCGAAAAAAAATATCACTGTTTTCTTCTTCTGCTTTTCTTACATCGTGAATTATAATCAAGCTTGAAAATCAACTAAACGTATTCCGCAAGTTTACAGTACAGCATTGCTTTTGTACATGCCCGCTGTCATTTAAGATCATCAAGTTTTGTTAAAATGAAACTAAAACCAAGTATGATGTTTCATTTGTTTACCTTGTCTTGCATTTTGATGTACTTGTGCAGCACGCCGCATAGTTTGTTGTAGTCTCCGTACCACTCGAATGACTTCTCTCCGCGTTTCTTAAAAAATCTCTCCCAATACTCAGCTGAGCTGAACTCCTCGGCAGTTCGAGGTAATAAACTCATTGTTTGTTTTACCTAAATCGATTTTTAAAAATATTGTGCACACAGATCATGCAACCAGACCTCTGCTACCCTCATGGCAATGTTTAGCTCGGACTACATTACAAGACGTACGGCTAGTTGATTGGATAAAATTTCAAAAACGCTCACGGATTGGTTAGTACTTGACAAGCAGCTTTGTATTGGTTGTTGCTCGGTGCTCTCCGTCGGTACTCCGTATGAAATTATAACCGGCTGCAATTGTTTCTGGTATAATAATCGTCTTGAAGTGTTGGACAAGTACTGTAGTCTATAATAAGAAAAAAGAAAATACTATTTTAGTTGCTACATTACATCACGTATTTTTCAGATTAATGCGAATTGTTAAAACACGAAATATATATTTTTCCATAATATGTGTAAACCCGTCCGTCGATTCAATGAGAAACCATAGAAGAAGAAAACGAAGACGATCAAACATGGCGGTGCCGGCTGGACGTTCCGTTGTGTTTGTCACCGGAAACGCGAAAAAACTTGAAGAAGTAAGCGTAGGTTCATTAATAATTGCGAGGCGAAGCAAGCCTGGCGTGCTTTCGCTAGAGACGCGTTAATATGCTTCATGTGACTCCACTCGGTGCTTTTTCTTGCATACGGAGACAGCTGCTGGTTACCTGTGGTGGTGCAGCCAAACCATACTAATCGATTACCGATTTAACTTGTCTTTACAGGTAGTTCAGATTCTTGGCGACAAGTTTCCGTACAAACTTATCTCGAAGAAAATTGACTGTAAGTCTGACGTTTTTGACACATTGATAAATCTGGGAAAATATGTATGTGCTTGGCGATATGTTTAGTCAGTTGACGATATTATTAGTACAAATGTTTTTTGTGTGACTGTTGCTGCTGTGACACTTTTATTTTCCATCAGTGAGTGATTAGAATATCGATATTTTAATCCATCCCTCTATGTAGTGCCTGAATACCAAGGAGAACCAGATGAGATTTCCATACAGAAGTGCAAGGAGGCGGCGAGACAGGTGCACTCACTACTATAAAATGTCATATTTTGATCCTATGTAGGGGGTCCTCAGAGTCCCCTCTATGTGGCGAATATCTACCTAAGTAAGAAGGAAACACATATTTATCTGAAAAGGTCAGCAAGAAAATGACCTTTTGCTCCAAAGTGGAGTCTCTGGAGTGTACTGGTGGCTCCCGGTTTACAATGGTGGTCCAGTTTTACGGTGGTGACGTAACCCGAATTTGGATGCAAGCATCAATGCATCTTAATAGTAAATAATGCTCGCATTGTCGTTATGGAAGTTTATTGACTTGTGTGTTTTGTTCAGATTGACGGCCCAGTCATAGTGGAGGACACCTGTCTATGTTTCAAAGCACTGGGAGGCTTGCCAGGCCCTTACATGTTAGTCTTGAGACTGTCATATGTACAGACCATTTAAGCTTGCGGCAATTTCCAACTAAAATGTTTTGTTTTGCAGAAAGTGGTTTCTGGATAAGCTCCAGCCAGAAGGTGAGCAATAATCATGTTGTTAACGTTTGATGGTAAAACTCTGATTGTGTGTTCTCTTTAAAGGTTTGTACAAACTCCTCGCCGGCTTTGAGGATAAATCCGCATGGGCCCTCTGCACGTTTGCATTTACGTCCGGAAAAGACGAGCCGGTGGAGCTGTTCAGAGGGATAACACAGGCATCACTCATCCTCCTTCTCTGTCACACTCTCAACCTTTTATTGCTTATCTCATGTGATATCATTTATATTTGTTTTCCAGGGCTGCATCGTGGAACCCAGGGGACCTCGAGACTTTGGATGGGACCCTTGTTTCCAGCCAGAAAGCTTTGACAAAACGTAGGGGCTTGTGCCTTGTTCCTACCACTTGGGGGACCCAGAGATTAACTGTGGGCCAGAATATCTACAGTACTGGATGTTCCATTTATACCAGTGCTAATTTGCGAAGTGTTCACAGCCAGCGCTTACATTTTCCACAATACACAATAATGAAAAAATATGTACATAATAACATTTTTGATGGGTGGGCAGGCACACCAGAGGCACAACTGTTTGTATGCAAGCCATTGAAGATTCAATTTTTCCCAATGCCCTTTCCTTCAAGATCCGCCTTTCCCTTGTTTCCAGCTATGCGGAGCTGCCGAAAGCTGTCAAGAACTCCATTTCTCATCGATACCGGGCACTAGCGGCCATGTCAGAGCACTTTTCACCACACGCCAAGAGGAAGAAGACAGACGATTGAGTGAGCGTGTTGTTGCGGTTGAGTAGTTTCTACTTCAGTACAAGTGAGCTCGATGTGTGCTTCCAGTCATTTGCTCATAATAAATGTTTTGCTCATTTTATTTTAAACACATGTTTTTTGTGAATGGGGGGTGGGGGGGGGACATCATGCAGAAACTATGCAAACATTTCAGCGAATGAATCGAGAGCAGTTTTATTGTTCCCCGGTGGCTCATCAAGACATAACCTGGCAAGGGTTAGAGTGCACCCGGTAAAAAATTAAAGTGCTATGCTTTTCCCACATTTTATGTTACAATCCGGCTTCCCATCAAAATCCTGCACACAACATCAAAGTGAGATTTGAGCAAACTGATGTGCCTTATGTAGCTGCTGAATGTAACTACGAAAGTAAATGTTAATTCAACATGGTGACTTTTAAAATCAAGGACTTTATTCAGGAAGGTAACTAAGCAAGTAATCATTACAGTAATCAGATTACTCAGACTTGAAGCTGTAATTGCTGCCAATAAACTGGCAAGCATTTTTTTAAAAAGCTGTCTTGTCATTATGAGACATTGTGTGTAGAATTGTGAGGGGAAGAAAAATAATTAATTCTTGGAATAAGGCTGTAACATAGTGTGGAAAAAAAAACTGAACTTTTATTTGCACGCCAAAAAACGGTGGACATTTTTTGGGAAAAGTACAGCACTGTGAGAACTTTCCGGTTGCACGTAGCTTCCAAGCACAAAAGATTTGATCTTAATAAAGGAGCATAAATCACATGAGAAAAGTTCCAGAGGCTTGATGAGTGCAGCAGATTACAGCCGGGGAACGATGATGATTGTTCAGGCTGGATGCAGTGGGGGCGGACGTTGGTCAAGGGGGGATGGGGGGGGGGGGCGAAGGGGTCTGCAGCCCAAACAAAACTGTAATAACATGGGAATTTGGATATTAAATGACCTGTGGAGTCACAAGTCCCGGTAGAGGAAGTTCAAATGTCATTGGTGCAGTCCACGTGAAGCAACAGCGCCACACGTGTGGCTCGCACAAACCATCACGTGCTTTCACATTTATAGAAGCGTGGCCGAACTTCTAAAGTTCCAATACAATCTGGTTCTTGATGCTAGCCATTTTTCCCCATAAGAAATAAGGGAAATAAATATAATCTGGTCCAAGATTAGGAAAAACCTTTGCGTATAGTTTTAGTTCAGGTTTTAAAGGAGACATTTTTCATTTTTCTCCATAATTTAAACCCGTTCCCATGTATTTTCCAAGATTTCCGTTCTTTACTTTTGTCAAAATGTTTGGAGCCATCAAGTGATGCTCATCAGAAGCCAACTCGAATTGATGTCTTCAGCAAAGCTCAATGCAGCTCTGCTTACCTTTTGGCTTGGTGTTTTTTTTGGGGGGGCGGGGGGCAAGGGGGGATACAACATGAGTTTTTGCACTGAATGTATGTTTCTTGTTCAGCAGTTTTGGGCCATCCTTAAATGCTACTTTTTAGGCAAGAGGGCCCTTTGTTCTGGGGGGGGAAAAAAAATACAGTGTGTGGTAATTTTGTTGTTTGCTTCAAAACTGTTGTTGGGTTAGGATCTTGGATCTTTTATGCACTGAAAATGTGTGATCAAAAAAGGGCTGTGTGAGTTAATCAAGTCTCAATCTGCAATGATTGTTTAAGACGAGAAAGTTTTGATGTGGGTTCCAGAGGGACAGACAAGAGCGTGCACCTGACACACATGAATACCTCCAGACATTCTTATGAAGAATAACAACAAGCCACAAGAGTATAGAAGAGAGCTTTGTGCCGCATACCAAATGGCTGACGGTCATCTTAGGTTTCAAAAGCAGCATATTAATAACTTTCCAGAAATGTTTTGAACAGAACGGGAGGGACGGAGGGAGGTAGGGGAATAAACCTTTTTTTTTTTTCCCTTCCAAAGTGATGAGAACATTCCAACTTGATATTTGTGGAGTTCATGAGCAAAGTGAACAAAGTGAAGTCTCTGGCTGAGGGCATTATTGTACTGTAAATTGCCATATTTATATATCGGAATGCCACTCACGACTCAGATTTTGGCTCACGAAACACACGCAAATCAACCAAAAACTCAAGTTCTGGCACACACAAAACAAAGTACCACAGGACAGCATTTCCTAAACGTCAGAAATTGTCTTTTAAGTTATCAATTGGAAGTCAACTGGCATAACAGAACAGATGGTGTTGGACTTTGGTGCATTTATTTATTAAGCCTAAAAAGCAATCAAATAACCTTGGTGGGGGGGGGGTGTGATTGGTTGATTTGCTTTTACAAATCCATGCCATGAAGGTTCAAATTCTCTCGCGGTCCGTTCATGTCCAACTGTCCATAGGTCTCCCTACCCCAGCCTTTTAGCCAAACAGTCCTGGGTTATGCAGTGTCAGGGACTGCAGCAGGTGCTGGAAGTCCTCCACAGTCCACGGCTCTACGCCAGGTCCCACAGCCGCAGGACTGCTACTACTGTCGGGGCAGATGCTTTGCGGGTCGTTGAACGTCACCAGTACGTCGGTGCCGAACTGAGGCAGGCGAAACACGCCGAGGTGAAGCCTCACCCGGTTCCTCGCCGTCTCGTTGTACTTGGACACGTATTGGGTGCCCGTCAGCGCCCAGGCGGAGCTGCACGCCGACAGGGACACTGACGACTTGGGCAAGGCGACCACCTCCGTCACCTCCTGCGCGCCAGGCTGAGTGGCGGCGTTGTTACCCGCGATGTCCTCAAAGTGGTACCGGGCCGCGTCCTGGTCCGCCACGTGGTCTTGGTACTCGACCAGTTCCACGATGAGACTTTGATCGGTTCGGGTATGGACGAACGCCTCCTGGTTGTCTGGAATCTCCCGCATCTTGCTCACGTCCGCGGCGCCGTGAGGGAGGATGGCCGACAAGGCGCCTCCGAACAGCGGATGAGGTTCGTTGACGCGCTGCATGTCAACAGCAGATTTTCACAACGGACAGTGTCGTTGCTTTATCTGCAAATGAACAGACTTGAGGTAACATTGGTCACAAAAACGTGACGAATGTGTAGCGTTGCCGTACTACAAACGTATTTCCGGGTGTTGTTTCTTCTTTGTATTATGGAATTTAATAAACTCATTGCTGCCACCTACAGGCGACTGAAAATGTTTCCTCTATATTAATGGCAGCAGAGCGTATTCTATTACAGAACCATTCACGTATTTATGACCGTCTGCTTCTTTCTTTTCTGCCATTTACAGAAAATCTAGCGTGCTTGTCCTTAGGACTAAATTCATGAAAATAAACCAGTATTTTCCCTTTGTTAATGTAATATGGAAATACTCCTGTATATTATTGGCAGCAAAACATATTCCCAGTGTGGAATGAAAGAAGGCACTGTCTACTTTTAAATAAGTATCGAGACAAAATGGCAAGGGAAAAATGCTAAAGCAGTATTGGACAGTAAAGCCGAAATAAAGGATGCAGACTAAACACTGGGTCAGAGGAAAGGAAGGCAGAGAAAAAGGAGGTCACGAAAGAAAAGAAAAAGCAGGTTTGAGGTGGAAAGAAAGCAGAAATGCAAATTTTGGCGATGGAAGAAAGGGTGCAAATGCACGAGTCATCAGGCAGAATAGAATGAAGAAGGCCAGGAAGGAAAAATGCCAGGAAAAAAAAACGTACACGTAAAAAAATGACATATTTTAAAAGTGTTTGCTACCTTTGCCTTTGATTTCTTCTTCGTATTTTAAATGTTTTAATGATTACACCACTGCCATCTACAGGCGAGGCGAAGACAAGACTAACTGTAGCCTGGTTCGCTTTCCCCTTACGATCATTAAATGTAAACATAATTTCATTTCGATAAAGAGAAAACGTTCCCCCCTTTTTTTTCTGCCAATCTCAGTAAAACGTACAATATTACTGACCTGTAAAATATATTTTGTGGAGGGCGGGTGCGGCTTTCCTGTTGACTTCCTGGTCAGCTGATCGGTGTCAAGCTATCACAAAGCAGTAGCAGCAGTGGCAACGGAAGCTCTGTAACATCTACAATGGTCCTCGCCTTGGACATCATTTGATGAAACTTCTTACAAATCTGACACCTTGAAGCGTGAGTCTTCCTCCCACGTCGAGGTTTGCTTCTTTTGTTGGCCGAGGCGGGTGGCGGTGGCGTTCGCATCCGTAGCTTCGCATGGAGGCTACGACATGACACAGGGCAGTGACACAGCTTCTTTAATATGCAAGATTTGCTTTCAAATGGCGCTTTAGGGCATCTGCTTTGATACTAAAGGGCGAGTAAAGTATTGTTGAAACAAAACAGGGCACATTTTGCTATATTTATATTTAGGAGCTGTGTGATAGGTATTTTTATCAGCGTGGGCCAAAAGTAGCTCCGTGTTTTGCCGGCATCTTTTTTTCTGCCTTTGAGTTGCATTATATTCATGCATCCTTCCAACCTTCCTTTGCGTAAACCTACCTTCCGCTTCCTTATCTGCCGTCCTTCTCCTCACACCTGCTTTTTTTTTTTTACATCACCTCAGGCATCCTTTCTTTCCTGACCTTCTGACACACCTTCCATCCTTCTTTCCTTCCCACTGACGCACCTTTTAATTCTGTATCCTTGCATTCATCCATCCATCCATCCATTCTTCCTTCCTTCCTTCGCATCAAACTACTCTTCCCTCCTCAATCTCACTCCCTATTCCAGCATCCGTCGCTGGTTTCCTTCCTACTTTATATCGATCGTATCGGCTTTGTATTCATGATTCGTTACATCCCTTGTTTCACTAACTTTGCTCGTTTCTTCCTTCTTTCACACCTATTTTATTTTTGTTTCATGCATCCTTGAATCCTACCTTCTGTTGCTGAAACCTCATTTGTCTGACCTGACCTTTTCTTTCTTTCACCTTTCTTTTTTTTGCTCCTTTTTACTTTTGTTCCTTCTTTCACACCTGCTTTTTATTCATTTTTCCTCCCATTACTTGAACCTGATTTCCTACCTGCCTTCCTTTTTCCCCTCGACCTTTCCTCCATTTTTACTTTACCTTCCTACTTTTCAGACTCTTTCCTGCCTTCCTTCACCACAGACCCACTTTTGTTCCTTCGATTTTTCCCTTCATGGCACTTCCTTTCTTCCTTTCATTTGTCCCGCTTTTTATTCACGCATCCTTCTTCCCTTTCCCCAAAACTACCTTCCTTCCTTCCTCTCCTTTGTTCCATCTCAGACTTGCTTTTTTCATCTGTCTTTCCTGACCTGTGACTTCATTTCTTCCATCCTTCCTTTTCATTTCCTTCCTTTGTTTAAAACTACTTGTCTACCTTAATTCTTTTTGATTTACAAACACGACACCAACTGTTGACCCACCTTGCGTTTAAGAAACACTTCATCGAATGAAGCCTCCGCCTTCTCTTTCATTTTCTTGGTTTAAACAGATTTATTTTAGTTATTACACCTTAACTTTTTGCCTCACATGTCCTTTGACAGTCCTTTCCCATGATTTTGGGTGATTCTGCTCTGCATGATAAAACCGAGATTCAAGGGTTCCCCAAACTGAGGATGTAGGCCCAAAATGGCCCCTGGAGTCCTGGTGTCCCTTTGCTAATTTGGCCCTTGAGCTGGATTTTGGGATCACCTCAACCCCGAAATACTTGACATCATTTGAAGGACTTTTCATGTTTCTTTTCTCTGCTCTCTGCTAACTAATTTACTAACAACTTGTATTTTTCTTTTTTTCGACATTCTTAACATGCTAGCTTTCTGTTCCCCTTTCTCTCTTTTTTTTCTTTGCCGTAGCCGCTACTCTTGCGTGTTTACTGGAAACTTCCTCGCACTGAAAAGGCCCGAAAGGTTTCCAGTCGCCGTGCCAGAATCGGACGCGGAGAACGCAACCGTTTCAAAACTGAACTGGACTCAATGGTAGAAGTTTTATGGTTGACCAGAGAGAGCAAAAGTGTTATGTGACACTTTCAAAGGATACATTTTATGCCTCCCTCCCCCCCACACACACACCCATTTTAAAACAGTTGTCTTTACAGATCTAAGTCATATATCTTCAATCGAAATGTTATCTGTGTAAAATGCACCATTCAAGGGGATTAAACGTCATTAGATTATGCAGGTGTACCTCATGACGTGTCTGTCGGCGTTCTCTGGCATTTCGCCTAATGGCCCTTTGACCTTTTGCCTTCTGCAGAGGGAGCCGGATCGGGAGGAGGAGCAGCAGCAGCAGCAGCAGCCTGACGACAACATGCCCCCCAAGTTCAAGAGACATCTCAACGATGATGAGGTCACGGGATCCGTTCGCAGCGAGAGGGTGAGGAAGTGGTGGTGGTGGTGGTGGGGAGGGGGGGCAATCAGTCTCTTGTGTGTGTGCGCGTGTGTTTCTGTGAGCTTGATATAAACAGCTTCCAGGTCACATGGATGAGGGCAAGTAGAAGACGCAATTTTTCTTTTTGTTGCCATGCCAACACCACCAGCCGGACGAAAATCTATGTAAAGATACAGGGAGAACATGCAAACTCCGCACGGGAAAGTCTGAGCAGAGATTCCAAAGATAAACTTCAGATCTGGGAGGCGTCTACGTTACCTCCTCGGCCATCAAAGAGGTGAACGGCAAAATTCACCGGATCGGTGAATGGAGCGGTACGTTCCCTGGTTCGGTTGCAATTGGCATTTAAACAGACCTTTTCGTCATTTATGACATGAGAGCAACAGCTGTCTTTGCCAAGCTTTGCCAAGCTCCAGCCTCGCAACACCAACCACCCCATCTTGAATTGTTGTGGCGACTTCATCAGGGTTGGTTGAAGGTCACCACCCTTGAGTCTCTGTGATTCCACAGCACCTGAAGGGAATGTCGTGAAAACCCCACATCATCTCACAGGACATCCTGTGATGCTTCCGCCATATCGAGATCGTGAGAAGAGGTGCTGTCTCCCCCCGGCAACAGTGACCCTCCACCGCCGCAACGTCCAATCGGAAAGCAAAAGCCGCGCGCGGGATTTATTCACCTCCTGTGAGAAATTTATTGCATCCCATCCGATGCTGATTCTCCACGAATAGCGTCAGGGTGTTTGGTGTCGCTGCTTCTTTTAGACTCTGGTCTGCTACTCTTGATCCACGCTCACACTTTTGATCCGGTCCCTAGTCGGCATGGACTCTGTACTTTTGATGTTGGCTTTGGTGGGGACAGCGAGCAAACTTGTAGCCACTCATCATCATCATCATCACCACAATAACTCGTCTTTTTAACCTCGCCGACCGCACCGTTCGGTGCACCTCCCGTGCAGAAACATTTGCCTTTGCAAAGGCAATCATGTTTTTTTGGTTTGTTTATTTTTCAAACCGATATGACAGGGGTGTCAAACTCATTTTTGTCACGGGACACATTGTAGTCACAGTTTCCCTCGGAGGGCCATTATGACTGTGAAACCGTATAAATGTTTAATCACCTCCTCATATTATTAAATATACAGTACACAATTAATAGATAACTATTATTGAAATCGAAAGTCGAGACAGGAGAGCAGTTTGTTGCACTGTTGTTCAAGTAATAACGTAAAACAAGAAAATGCTCGCAATAGCTCAACATGATTATTTACTACATTTGACAATATGAAATTTGGTACAGATTTTGGCATGCGTCATGGAAGTTGACCTGGTTGATTTGCTTTCGCGGGCCACATAAAATGATGTGGCGGGCCAAATCTGGCCCCTGGGCCTTGTGTTTGACACCTGTGCGATATGACCTCATTCCATATTTGAGGAGCGTTGTTGTGTCTTTTCTAACCTGCCTGTTTTGTCGCCACAGAGGAACTTGCTGGAGGAAGACTCTGATGAGGAGGAAGACTTTTTTCTGTGAGTTTGTATCTGCACACCTTGTATACAGTCTCGCCGTCCCGCAGTGCTCTGCAAAGACTTGATTTCTGCCCGTTCTACAGGCGCGGCCCCACGGGACCCCGATTGGGAGGCCAGAATGACAAACTCAAACAGTGAGTCCAAACACATTCCTTCCCACGATGCAAAACAGTCAGTCCTCTCTGTGCCTGTGTCTGTGCATTACGTAATCGGCTGGTTGTATTTATCGGAAGCTTGCAGGTAGTTAGCGCATTGTGTAACCGAGGCACATGATGAACATGCATGTTGTTGTGTGTGTGTGTGTGTGTGTGTGTGTGTGTGTGGAGCCTATACTTATCCCGCTCTGCGTTTCATGCACTCTTTATGTAATTCCCCAAGATGCCAAAAGAGGCCGCCAAAGCCCAGTCGAAACATTAAAAAGTGTCATGTGGACTCGATTCATCTCAATTGACAGACAGGCTATGCAGCAGGGGAGGAGTTAAGTTTAGCCTGGTTTGTTAGTGGAAGTTCCAGAAAGTCTTTGCGACATAAGCGCTGAAATGATACGAAATAGTTTTGGGATCCTACGCTATTATTACGGGCACTCGTGAACATTTGGGAGAGGGGTGGGGGCTCGTATCAATTACTTCGGGCTCGTTCCCTTCCTGTAAATATTCCCATGATTTGCCTATTTAAAAAAAAAACGTACCTGTCGATGACTCTGTGGTGTCTCTGTGGTGTCTCGATGGTGCTCAGTGTGCAGTCGCAGGTGGACGAGGTGATCGACGTGATGCAGGAGAACATCTCCAAGGTGATCGAGAGGGGCGAGCGTCTCGACGACCTGCAGGACAAGTCGGGTGAGTCCTCACCGGGGCACATGCGACCCAAGGGAAAAAAAAAAAATCATCAAAATCTGCGCTATAGTAGGTATTCAGCATATAGTAAATAATATACAGGTGTCGGGTTCTTGCATGTCAGCGTTTGAATCGCGTGGAGGGCTCTCTTCTCTTCTGAATCGAGCATGTGTGCGTGCGTAACAACACGCTGTCGCCACCTCGGCGATGAAGACGTTAGGTCGTCGCCGGTGGCTTGGACTTCACGCAATTGTTGCATCTACGCGGCCAACGACACACACACGTGGAACACATTTGCGCGCAAATTGTACAGGGTGTTGCTGCCGCGGCCTTAGTAGTCGGGCAAGGTTACATTCCTCCGGGTTAACAAGCGTCTTCGCAAAAGGCGGCAGATGCATGACAAAAGGATCACAGGGGAGGTCCGTTTACGTTGCCAGGAATCGGTACATTAACAGCGGCTGTATCCAGGCGACGGCCGAGCACGGAAGACATGACACAGAGTTAAGTAGTAAGCGGCAAATGTGTTTTTGTTCTGCTCTGAATAAACTGACGACTTTTCATGTGTTCTGGAACCTTGCGCAATAGCCGAGCAGTCTGAGTCACCTTAGCCCCGGTCCAAGCAAACATGTTACCCAGCTTCTCTGAAAATCTCACCTCACGTGTCCTCAATGGGTTTTTTTTTCTCATTTTTCCAGAGAGCCTATCGGACAACGCGTCGGCCTTCAGCAGCCGAGCCAAACAGCTGCACAGGAGGATGATGTGGCGGAACATGAAGGTGTGTTGTTGCCCTCGCCCCCCTTTCTTCTGTGCGTCTGGCGCACAGATCATTTGTGTTACAAAGCTCGTGTGCCTTGTCGTCCCCCAGATGAAGATGATCATCGCTCTGGTCGTGATTGGTCTCCTGCTGATTATAATCAGTGAGTATCCCAGCCCGCATTGCCTCCCTTGGTTTGAATCCTGTGAGTACCTTTTACAGTGCAGACAATCGGCGGTTTATGATGCCGTTCCTGTTCCTGGGGTGTAACCCTCGTTTTGTGTCGGAACCCAATTGAATCTATCACTCGGAGAATTGAAGACGTAAAACAAGAAATAGTTCTTTGAAAAAGACTTGTAGGCCGCATAATATTAGGGTTATAGTTTGGGGGGGTAACAAAAACCGATTTGAATCGGTAAATTGTTTTTGATTTAAAAGATGTGAATGCATCGAATCAGGTCATTTTTACAATCAAGCTACGATTAATTGATGAAATAATCAGTAGCAGGCAGAATGGTGGATTACTGGTTATCCGCCTCACAGTGCAGGTGCGAGGTTCGATTCCGGCTCCGGCCTTCCTATGTGGGTTTTCCCCGTTCCCTCATGGGTTTTCTTCGGGTACTCGGGTTTCCTCCCACATTCCAACAACACGCATAGCAGGTTAACTGAACATTCTAAATTGTCCGTAGGTGTGAGTGTGGATGGTTGTCCGGTCTATGCGTTGCCCTGCGATTGGCTGGCAACAGGTTCAGCCATTTTGGAGCGATGCGCACCCCCAGTTGTAACTTATCCACAGTCATACGTCATAAACAGGTTGATCATACCCAGTGGGATTAATCGTGTCGTCATCTCTTGTCCCCGTCAGTTCCCGTGATTCTGCGGTATCGTTAGTATCCGAGGAGGAGTGCGACGGACTACCCTCCTTCCTCATCTCGTCACACGGCCCTCCAATCCGGATTGGGGGCAGGAAGGGGGAGTGGACACCAGTCGCCCCCTCTTCAGCGATCATGACAAAGTTCGGGCCGGCCGCCTTCATCCCTGCTTTGGAGTTTTAGAAAGCATAGACTCGGTTTCTTTGCTGCAAGTAGTACAGTTCAGTGTGTGATGACATTATCGTGTAGCTTGCCAATCGATTTAAACGAGGAGAGGAAGGTCCATGCAGGGAACCACAATGGCGGACTTTTGGTCTTCTTTATTCTCTTTAGTCCTTCCTTCATGGAAATGACCGTTCTCTGTCCACCAGTATCACTGGACTCCTAACTGTGTATTTTCTCCAATGGACAATTACTCGACCAACAATGGAAGCTTAAAAGTGAAAGCGGATGTACAGAACTGAATCAAACCACAACAGCCGTTTTTTAAATTATTATTGTTGTATGTTTTGTTTTGTTTGTTTGTTTTTAGCTCTGGCCGTAATGGGCACAATGGTTTCAGGAGCGCCACTCAAAACGTTAGAATGCATCATGCTGCTCTTTGCCGGTTAAAGGGCCAAAAACAAAACCTGTCATGAATGTCCTCTGGGCTGATGTGGTCATCCTCCACCTGTCATGTTTCTGTTTTGGTTGTTTGTTTTGTTTCGTTTTTTTTTTTTTTTTTGTTGTCCTGTTGAATCTGACACTTGTGCTGTTCTGACGGTTAAGGGGCGGGGGTGATTCATGTCAATCTTTGTGTATCTAATCTCTTTTTTGTTTTTTTTTTATTGTGAAATGGTCTGGACATAAAAACCTCTTTAATTTATTCCAAGATGTACATATTGATCCTGTGACAATTTATCGTGAGCATTCCAATCCTTATTCCCTCCCTTCTCAACCTGCTCTCCGTCTGAAATAAAGTGCTTTTAAAAAGTCCGTTCTCCTGTTTGATCTGGTTTGGTCACATGATGAGCGCAATGTGAGCGCAGGGGCATTTGGACAGCAGTTCCACTTAAGAGAAGAGGGTTATATTGGCCAAAATGGCGGCGCCCTGAGACGGATGAAAAAGGATGGATTAAATCTGTTTAATTCGTATTCCACAATCAGAAGATTAATCAGAATGCAGTGTTTGTTCTTGCACATTATTTCTTTTGAGTTCCCCTTCAAGTCCTTTTGACCATTTCCTGAAGTCCTTCATTTAGTCCGATTGCTACCAAATCTGAACCACATGTACGAGAGAGACGGACAACGCTAAATAATATAAAGTTATTGTCCTGCGGTCGGATCGTGGCAACCAAGTTCAACGTTTTGCTTCGAAGCGAACATTTACGGTCATTTTAGATGTAAGATACCAACAATTCAAATTACCGGACGCTAACTTCCAGCAAGGTACAGTCTCTTCCGTTCCAATACTTTTGGAGGGAACTGTACATGTGCAGGCAGAATTTGGTGGGTTTTATGAGGATGTCAATATCCTGAAGAAGAGAGGAAAAATTGTCAGGAGGGACATCCTGTGCTGTCTTCTAAACGCTGTCATTTCAATTTTACTGGGTTGGCAGCAGTTTAAAAAAAACATCTCAGACTTAGACATTATTGTTCGACCAAGCTCTTCTATTACACGCGGACGCCCACTGTGGCACGCCTACCCGAGGGTGATGATTTTATTTGACACAGTCTGGTACTGTTAAAAACATCCACTCAATGACACGCCTGTTTAAAAAAATAGAGTTGGTAAAAGTCTGATTGATGAGGCACACGAAATCCCCTTCATGAGAGGAGGGGACTTTTTTTTTTTTTTAAGCCTCCCACATTGGCAGCACAGCATGTTTTGGTCCTGCATTTGGGATGACCTCAGATTCCGGGCATAGCGGCGGTTATGTGAGTCACATGAAAGGAAATCAAACACACAAGAAGAGAAAGCCAGGTGTTATTCGTCGCACGCACGCAAGAGCACTCTGGAGAAGTTCTATGGAATGACATGGGCGTCTCGAGAGCTGGAAGTCAAGACAACAAACCGCCAATGAAAAGACACTTGAAGCCGTTTGGATACGATTGGTGAAAACAAGCAGACTTAATCCCACTGCTCATCCACGTGCCGCCGGGAGCACCATCCTCCTCCCTACGATCCAGTTACGATCGTTAGCCTTTCGAGCACATCGGGGCGGGGCCCACACACACTTATAACACCAGAGGATGATAAAGGCACAGATGAATTCTTGAGGGCAGGAGATTTAGAGGCATTCAACAATCGGGCCATTGATTGCCAGAAAGGGAAAATTGGCTCAATATTTTTGTAAGCTTATGTTCTATTATTAATTATTATTTTATGTTTGAGCATCATATTATTTCATGTTAAGATTACCCGAATCACATTCTGTTGTTTAATAATTGCTTAAACGTGTTTTTGATGTCGATAGCTTCTGATTGGCTGAAAAAAAGGGAAAGCAGGAAGTGATTCAGAAGGTGAGTTTTTAATCGTTGTGGGTAGACATTTGGGAAAAAAAGCTGCGTTCAAACGGAGTTCATCTCTCCTTTTGCCGTTTCTGAACGTAAAGCCATTTATTCATAAACAACGAACCCCTCAATTTACATTTTTACCCCGCTTTACATACTGAAGTGGTTTCACGGTTAAAATTGTCAGCCCCTGTCTGTTTTCAGGTTACACCCCGGAAGAAAAAAAATCACTCAAAAATGCTCAAATTTGACCTGATCATCAGCATGCACGTGCGCCACTTTAATCCCCCAAACAAGCGCAGGATATGAAGTTCAAAATGAGGAGGCCCCCGTCTGCATTTTTTGAAGGCTGGCTTGCTCGAATCTCTCATCATGCTGCTCATCTGAAAATAAATGGGATCACCGTGGCTATCGCATGACGCTCAAAGTGAACGAGCGATTCAACTTGCAGAGAGATCAAGGGCAAGCGGCAAAAAAACGACCTGTCGGCTTTATCGGCTTTCATTCAGTGTGTGTGTGTGTGTGTGTATGTGTGTGTGTGTGTGTGTGTGCGTGTGTGCGTGTCTATGTGTGTGTACGTACGCGTGAGTGCGTGCATGCACTTTGTGTTGAGTTGATTTATTGAATGAATGAATGAATTGAATTAAATTATTTACCTTGGAACGCATTGTTTGGAAGTGTTTGAAGGCTTTTATTTTTATTTTTGTCTCAAAATTCTTAACGCAACATCCCATAATTTAATTTCACTGTTTGCTCATGGTAAAATTATTTCCCAAGCATGTCACAAAACTTGTCCATAGAGCACAGGTGCGGATGTATTTTTGTGTTCGGATGCCACATTTGAGATTTGTGCTTGTTAAAAAAAAAAAAAAAAAGACATAATATGATATGAATTAATTTTTGACATTTTAAAAATTTACCAGTATATTAATATATAAATTATCTAAAAATAAAATTTATACTCACTGGTAAAATGCTTATTTTAATCTTTTTTTAAATATTATCATTTACAGTAAATCAACCAGTTATTAAAAAAAGAATTTACTCATTTTATTTGCAATACAGTATATTAATCAATTATTTTAATAGCGTAATTTTACTTTTATTTTACCCATGTTTTTTTTTTTTTACTTTGAGTAAAATTATGAACCAATAATTAAGAAAGAAATTATAAAAATGGATAAATGCATATGTATATTGTGTATTTAACTGATGTTTTTCTTGAATTTCAAATAATTAACCAGCATACTTTTATTCACTCCGGATTCTTGCTTATGCCAGTAAAGAAGACCCAGGGCAGCCTATTCTGCCTTGTTACCC